TAAAAAGTTATCTCATGCCCATTTAAAATCATTCTTGGGCAGTCTCTGATCTGCTTTCCATCAGTGTAGATGAGTTTTGCCTGTACAGAAACTTCATATAAGTACAGTCATACAGTGTGTACTATTTTACTATCTGACTTTTATCAGCATATTTTTAATATTTTTCATTGTTTCTATCATAACAGTATTCTTGGTAATTATGACATTGTTTCTTTTGCTGATATAAAATGTGCAGATGCTCAGTCCCTTGTGCACAGTGGTGCCATCTCTGCATATAATCTGTGCAGTCTTCTCATACTTTAAATCATCTCTAGATTGCATATGCTACATTACATTATGGAGATGGAAATGCTGTGTATGTAGTTGCTGTATTACATTGTTTAGGGAATAATGACAGGGACAAAGTTCACATATTTAATACATGCACAAAAGCTTATTGCAGTCAGGGGTTGGTTAAATCTGCAGATGTAAAGCCACTGATAGGGAAGGTCAGCTGGGATTTTATTGCTAAGTAAGACTTGTGAACATATATTTTCTGTTGGCTTAATACTTATGAGTAATATTGTGGGATAATACAGACCAGTGACATAGAATATGAGAGCCCAAGAAACTCTCATTTTTTTTTATAAGGGTGCTGCGGCTATTCAGTGGGGACAAGATAGTCCTTAACAAGTGATGCTAGAACAACATAATAACATGAACCTTGATCCCTACCTCCTGTCGTATATAAAAATTTACTTGAAGTATATTGTAGGCCAAAATGTAAAATTACAACCTAAAGCTATAAAACTTGTGGAAAAAAATCTAGAGGAAAACCGTCATGACTTTTAGTTTAGAGGTTTTTTTAGACATAATAAATCTTGTGTTTATGTTTCTTAGACATAAAAAATTACTATAAAAGAAAAAGTAGACAAATTGGACAACACTACAAACTGCTCTTTCAAAGACAAGAAAATGAAAGGGAAATGACAGCATGTGAGTAGATATCCGCAGTACATCTCTTAACAAAGGACAGGAATATACAGAATTTAAAGATGTGCTTAATGTGCTATCATGAGAGGATAACCCCGTAAAAAAAGGCAAAAGATGTGAATAGACAATTTACAAAAAAAGATACATACATGGTTAATAAGTATATTAAATGATATTTACAGTCAGTCATCAGGGAAATGGAGATTAAAGCAATGAGATATGTTTCATATTTACCAGAATGGGTAAAACTTACAGGGCTAACAAGGGATGTGATAAAAGCAAAAAGTGATTCAACTACTTTGGAGCATTGTTGGCAGTTTCTTGTTCACACTGTTTTTGACAGCCTTCTAAATTTGTTTAGCTCCCCCCACAGCTTATCTCCCAGATGGTTTATTTGTTTTCCTTTCAATTTTATACTTCTTTGGAGACAGTAGATTTTCTGGAGTACTAAGAATCACTATTTTTCAGTATAATCATACAAAGCTATTATTTTGGCTTTTCTGTTTAACTTAATGTAGGAGAAAGTAGCAGTATTCAGCTAAGAACTACAAGTACCTTTTATCACCTTAATTGCTTTCCCTATTTTGGATATTATAGCTCATAATTGAACAACTTAAAGGTGATCAGGAGGCAGTAGTTAACAGATTGGAGCTTGCCTGTGATAGTGGAAGTGAAGCTGGAGTTATTTGTATGTTTCAAAAGAACAGCCGATTCCATGTATTAGTAATAGCAGTAGCAATTGAAGTTTTATTCAGGCTCTGAAGAGCAAATATTGGTTAAACCATATAATAATGTGGTTACCAGATTGTGAGCTAGAGAAAAATGCAGCAAGTAATTATTTTGCTTTTTCAGATGCTGAATTTTGTTTGTTTGTTTGATAAACATTTTAAGGTCATTAGAAGTTACCTGTTTTCTAAATGGGATACCTTAAAGGTAGATTTTCCAATGGGTTTCTCAGCTCCTTCATAGTTGGCTATTGTCAGTACTTGGAGTTTTGTTACTGCCCTGTAGGTAGTACTTGTTACGTAACAGGTTCATTAATAAATGTTAAGGGAAGTTGTAGAAAATAAAATCTGCCATGCTTTGCTTCTACAATTTTATGTTCTGTTTGCACCATTAGTGTAATTTTCTTCTCAAAGACTTTTGTCTTTCGTATTGTCTGTATGTTTGTTGGAACTTGTCACTCATTGTAATCATCTTCTTTTATATTTTTGTACATATTTATAATAGCTACCTTAAAGTCATTTGCTGATTCTAACAATTGGTTTATCTTGGAGTCTGATTCTGTTGATGCTTTCTTTCCCCTTTGGTTATGGGTCATGTCTGTCTACCCGTCTATCCATCTGCCTGCCTGCCTTCTTCCATCTCTCTCTCCCCCCCTTCCTTTTTTCCTTCCTCTCTCTCTTTCTTTCGCTTTGTTTAGTAAATTTTAATTAGATGTTGAATGTTGAAGGGAATCAGAATGTTGTTTTCTTTAAGGGTGCTCCTTTTCATTTTGGTAGGCATTTAAATTAAAGGTTGATCTGATACTGTTAAACTTGGTTTTCTTTGTTAAGGCAGATTTCAGGCTTTTTTTTTGTCCTAGGGTTGTGTTTGTCTTTTTTTGAGACAGGATCTCACAGTGCGTTTCAGGGTGGCCTTGAACTCCATATATATAGTTCAGGCTGGCCTAGAACTCACAGTGATCCTCCTGCCTCAGCTTTCTTTGTACTAGAATTACAGGTATGTGTCACCATGCCTGGCAGGGCCTTACTTCTATGATGTCACCCTTCTGGGGTCTCAGCTTAATATCCGGGATGCTCAGTAAGATTATTTCCTCTCTGGCTGGGTCAAAATTCCAACTTCTCCCTGTATTGTACTACCTCTGTGTCTCATTATACTTTCAGGTCGTACACATATCTCACCCTTTGGTCAAAGACCTGAGGTGAAATCCATGCAAACTTCCTTCTCCTTCTTCCCAGGTATCACCTCTTTTCTGTTTTGGTTGAAGACCTGAGGTGAAATCCATGCCAACTTCTTTCTTCTCTTCCTATTTATTATTCCTTTCTGGTACCCTTTACAAACCTCAGACAGATCCATGTTCTCTTCTTTTTTACCTCAGTGAAACCTTTGTTCCACTTGAGTTGCATTTCCTTCTGCTTTGTCAGAAAAGACCCCCCACCCTCGAAGGCATTTTTGGGTGGTGGTGCCTTATGGATCATAGCCTATTTGCTGTAGTGGTAGTGTGATATATGAAGATTTGTAACTTGTTAGTGACAAAATTATTAAGTACTGCTTGTACTACTCTGTGACATAATTTTTCATAATCAAATTCATGGGTTATTTTTCTCTACCCATTGTCTCTTTTCAGAAGTTATACTGTAATTTTGGTTATACCAGTATTTAGCTTTTCTGTGATTATAACTACATAAATAAATGCCATTCCTAGTTAAGCAGTATAATAGATCGTAACTTTTTTTCTGCAACTCCCCTGCCCCAATTATGATGGTTTCCTTAGGTTTTTTACTTTGTTTAGTTTTCTATGTTCTTAATTTTAACTGATTGGTACATATACCCCTAATTATATAAATCTCTCCATGTTTGGGCATGAGCCTTCTACTCTCACCTAATCCGGATGAATTTTTCTTTAATCTTACTGTATGGAAGTCCACTTAGATGCCCTTTTCCCATCATCCTGGAGATCGTTTTCCTCCTTTGCATTTTGAATTCTTCAGTTCTTGGAATCTGTCACCTTCCTCAGTGGCTTCCCACTCTTGTTTTGTGGAGCACATCTTTCAATAACTTCATGAAAATGTATGGGAAGCAGAATTATTGGAGATTATGCTTATTTTAAAATGCCTTTATTATTATATAATCATGATTTACAGTCTATCTTGGTATACAGAATTGTAGGCTGGAAATCATTTTTCCTCAAAATCATGTTTTGCCTATTTTTTTTTTTTTTTTAAAGCTGTTAGTATTGCTGTTAAAAAAGAACAATGTTACTTTGATTCCAAATTCTTTTTAGAAACCTATTTCCTTATAGGCATCCAGTTAGGATTGTCTCTCTCTCTTTTTTGGTGGGGGATCTCTTTAGAAATTTCACAAAGGAACATATACTGTGTAGGCATGTTTTCATCAGTTTTGCTGGGTATTCATGCGCCTTTCAGTTTGAAAATTCATGTCCTTTAGTTTGGGATTTTTTCTTTTTTTAAGCCTCTGATTGTTTTTTCTGTTTGTTCTGATAATTCCTCAAAATTATACTCTTTTGACCCTTTTGTTTCCTACCTTATAGTGTCGTAGTGTTGAGGACTAAGGGTGTGTGTGTGTGTGTGTGTGTGTGTATGTATTTTTGTGATACCTGTAATTATTATTTGTTGAATAGTTTCATAAATAATTGTCAAGAAGGAATGGTCTTCAGGTTTGATTCTTAGATTTATTAGCTGTGTCATCTTGGACAAGTCCCATAATCTCTTTGAGACCTAGTTCCCTCCTCTGTAAAATGTGAATAAACTCTACCTCTCAGATGTTTGTTAGGGGTGAAAGAGAACATATATATGAAAATACTTAATGAATTCCTTCAGAATTAATAGCTGTTTGTATCTTTTAAAACCAAAAGTTTTTAGTTGGGAAGAAAATGATGGCTGAATTTTCAGGTTTAGAGTATATAATGACTTTCTTGTAAATTGGTATGAACCATGCTAATAATGCTAAGTGCTAATGCCCCCTTTTCAAGAAGTTATTTCTTAAAAGTCAATCTCATTGTGTTAGCCTGAAGACAGACTTATGGAAATACTCACTCTGTCAAAAGCTCTAGTTTTACTCAGATTGTATAAATCTGTGTAATGTAGTAATTATTTCAGAATGCTATGATTACTAGTGTGAACCCATAAGGGAATACATAATTGGTTTATTTATTTATTTTTACTTAATGGTATTTGAGATTAAGAAAAATAGAGTCTGTCTTTTGGTTCTTAATTGTATTAACGTAATTTCAAGTACAATATTAAATCATTTTTGTTAATGGTAGATTTTTGTTTTGTTTTAAGGTTTTTGGATTCAAAGCATAAAAACCATTACAAGATATACAATCTGTAAGTATGTTTTATTTGTATGCTCATGTATCTTCTGAAATAACTAAAGAGTGCAAGTTATTTTTCTATTAAAGTTAAAGATACATTTTAACTGAATTGTATTCTGCAAAGAATTAGTTGAAGATTGTGAGACGATTGTTAGATCATTTGGAAAGTGTAGTGATGAGGTAAAGCAGTGCTGGCGCCGATTCATGTTACTTGATCTGCTTTGAAGGACTTGGCATGCATCCCTTTTTCAACCTGTAACCGTGTGGTAATTTGAAGTATAATCTACAGCAAAGCAAATGTTAAAACATCGAGCCATCTTCCATAGAGGTGTGCTCCAGAAGGGATATAATTTTGTTTAAGATTCTGTGTCTGTTGGTTAATTAAAACAACTATTAAGAGTATTCTCTAATGGTATATAAGATAGTTACCTAAAATTATTAAATTAGTTTCTTTTGTCTGGTGCAGGAATTTAAAGATTGCACATTGGTAGAGCTAGTTGACCTTATCTTTAACTTTCTGTCTTTTCTTTGGAGTTTGGGAGTATAACTGTAAAAAGGAAAAAAAAAGAAGGGAAGGAAGACCATACTTAACCACTTGGTCCTTGAAGAGTGTTTTTCCTTCCTAAAACATGAACCATTTTTTAGCTTTTAAATAATGGCATGTTATTTTTATACTTGATTTTTATTTTTCTTGTATAGATATATAAATTGTACAATAGAAAGGATTTACGTAAAATTAGGTATACTAATTCACTCTTACAATTTTTTTTTTGTAGTTTATCAAACATAAGAGTAAGATTCTACCACCAGCAGGCATTTAAATCTTTGCCAAAAAGGACAAAGGATTCCCTATGCCTTCTTGACTTATGGTGTATTGCTTTTTTTTTTTTTTTTTTTTTTACAAATATTTCTGTTCTGATAAGACCTCAGAAGTAGTG